CGGAAATATGACAAAATCTGCTGGGTCAAAAATATAAAAGCAAATAGAAAGGTAAGTTCTGGTGATATAGAAAGCGTCTGACTAATGTTTTCTCAGTGGCATGGCTCATTTTGCATGAGTGATTATGATTGACAGCAGCTGCTGACTCCTCTGAGCCAATTTAAGGAATACAGGATAGCAGATGGAGATCAGCGATATAACAGAAGAATGGGTATGTTGGAGGTTGGTGATAGATAAATAGTTGGTGTCGTCTGCATAACAGTGGAAATGTCTGCAGTGCTTCCTGATGAATACTGCCTAAAGGGAGCATGTACAAGGTAAATCATATAGGTCCTGACACAGAGCCCTGTGGAACTCCACAACTAACTCTGAAAGAATCATCATTCACATGAACAAACTGGAATCTGTCTGATAAATATGATTTAAACCAGTTCAGTGCAGTTCCTTTAAGCCCAATAAACATTCCAATCTCTGTAATCAGATGCTGTGACCCACTGGATCAGATGCAGCACTGAGATCCAGCACAACCAGTACAGACACTAGTCCACTGTCTGAAGCTATAAGAAGATCATCAGTGACCTTCACCAGTGCTGTCTCTGGACTATGATGCTTCTAAAACCTGATTAAAACTCTTCAGACAAAACATTTCTGTGCAGATGCTGTAGTTTGCCAAAAGCCGTTTCACTTCTTGATGAAACATCTGACACAGGATGCGTGTTCTCCTCCAGCGGTGTGGTGATAGCTGTTTACTATCACTGTAATTACTCTCTAGGGTCATGCAAGCAGACATCAGATGACAGCAAGCAGTAGGCCTGGTCCAGTCTGAGCTGTCACCGAGCCAGCAGGCCAACAATAGGACACGAAGCCTCAGAAACACTTCAGACCGACAACACGATCCATCCCCCAGTGTTTGGCCCGTTCAGTGGCTGGTATGAGACACAGCCTTTAAATTAAAAGATAGTTGTGGTTTATTACAACTTTGGTCCTATTTTATAGTTGGCGCCGTCAGTTATGGGGTTTCAGATGCTCTGTGACACACTCAGCTCAGTTTAACCAGGCGTACATCATGAGTGTAGACGGGAGGTGATAATGTCATGATCTGGTCTTGGCTTCATGCAGTTTTAGTTGACTTAAATTAATCTCTGTAGCGTCACCGACCTGTTCTTTGTGTCATGAGCAGTACAAAACACAGGCCAGATTATCTATATGTAAGGAAGGACAATAGGACAGTCACATGCTTACTATGCTGAATATTTCTCTTCATTGCATTGATGTTAACTGTAGGAAGCATGCACATCTACAAACACAGCAGGATTTGGCAGAAGGGTGTCTGACAGAATACAGTACAAGCACTACATCAGTCACATGTAAACCTAAACCTAACTACCGTCTGGTCTGTCTTTCTAACTTCTTGGCCTCTACATCAGTGACAGGAAACATATACATGTAATGTGTACATTCTCGGCAGCCTGCATCCATTAGTATGGTAACGTTCCAGATTATGAAGCTAAAATCCCGGAGAACGTAGTGCTAGAGATCATAATACTACAGATAATTAAATCTACAGCAGTTGAGCCTTAGATTATAGTTCAGACATTGTTAAAAACTTATTGAATCATGAAAACTGTGCTTGATTTACTGAGAGACTATGAGACTGGTCACCATGAAGTGTCACTGAAGTGAAGCCTTTCAGGGTCAAATTACATATTCAGTCTAATTTCTGATTAAGACCTGAAGCTGTTGTTTCCACTGAGACTAAGTCATGTAGTGGTGAAGTTCGTTAAGGTGTCCCTCAAGGCTCTATGTTGGGTCCTGTTCATACACAACATAACAACATGGCTTCAAGTTCTTGCTGAATTGGGCTCATGGCCTTCATAGATTCAAAAACTAATTATTCGATGTCTGTGGTAAATATCCTCGCTCATGTTTTTAACCGTCACATAGCAACAGTGGTTTTGTGTGTGTACGGTATGTCACAAAAGAGAGTACACCCACATACATGCAAATGTTTTATTCTATCTGTTCATGGGACAACATGCAGAGATGACACTGTGCTGCTATGTACAGCAGTCAGTGTCCAGCTGATATAACAGAGTAGGTTCACTGTCCCCTCAGAATAACGGCATACACAGCCATTAATGTCCAAACAAAAGAGTGCACCCCTCAGTGAACATGTAAAGTGTCCATAGATGGCCACCATTATTTATAGACATACTGTAGATGTATACATTTGGAATTAATAAGGCAGCCTTTGTTAATTAAAACCTTGGTTTTGGTCATTTCAAGTGAATTAACAAGTGAATTTCAGTTACTGGAAATTCCAGCCAGCCTGGAATAAACAGACCTGATCCCTGATGCGTAAGGACAAGAAGTAGGGCCTCACATAAAACATTAAAATACCCTGCTGTTAAAAATAACCCTATTTTGCATTTTAGTAGCAATGACAGTGTTTTATTGAAGTTGTATTTCCTGTAGGCTTGATGCGTCTGTGCTGGTCTGCTCCCACTGGTCCCACTGCTTCCAGGTGTGGATCCAGAAACAAGGGCTCTGGCTGACTGTCCACAGACTGTCTACACAGTAGACGCACAGAGCAAAATATGGCATCGTTTAGCTTACAGCCCACGGACGCCAGAGAACCGTCCAACTTGGCAAATTCTTCAATTGCTTGATCTGATTGGTTCATGATGCCGACTTGGTCACAGGAGTCAGAGAATGACATGTTGTGATGATAACGTAAATAGTTTAGTTAAAACGATAAAGTGAAATTGGGCACTAATCAGTGTGGTGAACAACTCTACATTCACACATAACATCTACACCGGCGTTACCTGAATAATCATGTTACAAGCTGCTAAAAGTCGTTTATGATGATCAACAGAATTCCTGCAGTAAGAGTGAAAGTGGGTATTTAAAATAAGCACTGAAGTACTGCTTCTGTTCATTTTAACCTTTTATTGTCTGAAGGGCTGATCTTCATATAGAGTTCCTCCAGTTGGATATGAAAGTGTGACTGTACTGTGCCACAGGAACTCCTCTGGTTTTACGGCTTGTTTTACATCCTGCTTCACCCTGACACTGTTTAGATATTCTCCAGGGTTTTTTTTTTTAAATAATGAAAGAATAAATAAGTTCCATATTTTGTTGTATATGTTTCCATTAGTTTTCCTGATGTTTTATTGTTAGTTGTGGTGTTGTTTCAGTGGCTGTACTAGTATGTTTAGGGCGGTATCATGACAACAAACACCTGGACTGATACCAAACCATAGCAGTGAATCATGTCCGGCTACCAGAGGCCGAGCACAGCGTATCCAGATGGACAGAGCAGAGCTGGGATACGCAGACATCCCATACGTCTGCTATCACACACGTCTGTTATGGGATCCTTTAAGCACTAAAGCTGACCGATGACTGAAGCCAAACATGACAGATCCTGAAAAGATCTGAGAACTCCGGTGTGAGTCCCTGGATGCTCTGTGCTCCGTAGTCCACGTTTAGAAAAGTCATTCTGAGGAGTGTGACTGATAGATCCTCAGTGATCCACATCGTGGTAGTCGTAGGAGCAGCAGTAGAAACCACCTGGACTGTTCTTGTAGGTTCTTCTCAGGAGCAGCTAGCAGCATGAAGACAGAGCCAGAGAGACATTCTTCCTGTAATAAAACTCTTCACTACCATGTTGAGCTTCTTAACGTAGTAGGATGATGGAGGCCTGCTCTAATCTGGACTCCTGGGCGTACCTGTAGTCCTGTGGGCTTACAGCGCGTGGCCCGGCCCTCTGCCTTGTTTAATAGGATTCTGTGTTGTCGCAGCAGAAGCTAAAGATTACAGCAGGGACCAGAGGTGTCATGTGTTAGCATGTAGGGAGATGGTGGCGTGTCATCGTCCCTGTTCCTCCAGATGTTTCCACGATGCTGTCTGTGTCTCATTCATATTCATTCAGAAGGAAAGGCTGGGCAGCTGTAATGAATCATCTCTTTGCCAGGCAGGACATCAGTCTCCAGGGGTCGCTGTGCCCATCATTAGCACTAATTATCAGTTGTTCCTGAGAAGAGTTAAAGGCTTGTAGGGCTGCAGTAGGTGTAATGGTAGGTCCAGCTGTAGTTCTCCATTACCAGTGAGCCACATCTGCCCTAAAGACAACCTATCATCCATCCATCATAGTCAGACACGCTGCTCTGTGCTTGTGTGTGCCTCAGACTGTCTAATTTGAGTTTTAGGTGCTCATGTGTTTGACTTGGGCAGAGCTTTGCACCAGCTGACAGCCAAACGTCCGACGACTTGTTTAAGTCCAGCAGACCACTTTTTTATATATTTTATAATTTTTGATTCAAACAAGTAGTTTTGATTAACAGCTTCACTATTTGTGTAAATTCTGGACTATTGAGGCACCTGACCCCTCTCTCTGCCCGTCGTCACTCTGTGGGCTCAGGAATATCTCTTCAGACTAGAAAACACAAGCTGTTGCCACAAACCAGGAAATTAGCTTCTCTCACAGTGGTGAAGCAATGCTAAGGGCTAGCGGCTAAGCTAGAAGGCAGCCACAGATTAGCCTGAAACAGAGTCTGGAAAACAACAATTAACAATCACCCTGTCTTCTGGGTTTCTGCTTTTCAAAGTTCTGATGTTCTGACTCCCTCCATGGCTGGTATAGATACAGATGGATGCAGCGTATAGATCTCGCTGAGACCAGTGTTGAAGCAGGTGTGCTTACTGACTGTACAGGAAGATGTGTTGTCCGCTAAAACCAAACCGTGTCCCAGTTCTGAGGTTTGCCAGAGATTGGTACGTTACAAGATGTTTTTATCCAATTCAACAGCAAACAGCTGCCACCACAGATGAGTGTTGAAGCTTCAGCTGACTGGATTCACCAGCTGGTTCTGTGTTCTGTTTGTTGATGGTTATGATAAAATGCTGCTGGACTGAACCTGATGAAATGGACCACCATCAGACAAAACAGTAAAGAGCTACAAGAAGTAACCTGTCTAAAAGCCTTGAACCTTCAGCTGACGCCGTGCTGTCCTGCTGCTCTGAGCTAATGCCATCTCACTCGTCTTTTATCTGTGCAATTGAAAGGACAGAGTCGCAGCAGCTGCAGAGCTCGGGGACCAGACTTCCTCTCTGGGCGCCATCACTGGACCCGACCTCTCCGGGCCTCCTGACGTCCGTGTGCTCGATCCATCTTGTATGAAAGATAAATCCACACAGGTGAGCACAGCCCACACGCCACCTTTTCCCTTCAGGTGTCCTGCTGCGTCCGCTTCCCTGCTCAGATGAAGTCATGTGACATTTTACTGACATGGGAACGAGGAGGCAAGTTTACTTATTAATGGCAGCTCTGGAATGAGATGTTGGTGCAGGTCAGGGAACTTTACACATCCAGGTGTGTTTCCTGGTGTCACAATATGCTGCTAAAATGTTTGTCTTCATCTGTGGTGCTGGCTGGAGGCTTCAGCTCCAGGCAGGGTTGTGTTGTGGATAATAGAGACAAAGAGGAAGACTACAAACCTGATCCTTGTTAATACTGACCGCTAACTCTTCCTTTCACAGTACTCTGCTGTATCACTGTGTTCTTACCGTATCCTATGGAACAGATTGTACCATTGTCCAGAGTGAGGGTCAGGGGGTTAACCCTCCTAACCCTGACCCTCCTAACCCTGACCCTGACCCTGACCCTCCTAACCCTAACCCTGACCCTGACCCTCCTGACCCTGACCTGCACTCCAGATGAACCATATATGGGCCACAATGTCATGAAATAAATGACTTTTACTGGTAAGAACCTCCTGTAAAAGGCAGCCTTGTTGATTTTATTGGTCTTACCAGGCTCCTAAAGTTGAATTTGTCATGAATTATTCTCTTTTTCATGCCATCAAAGCAGACTTGTCTCTATTCCGCTACTAGCAGGGCAGCTCCATGTAGTGTTTTAAGTGCAATTAGAAGCAAGGAAATGACCTCAACCACATAATTTACAAAGAAAGCTCCCATGGTTGTTATTTTAATGACAGATGTAGAAGGGAAGTCTCTGGTTTAAGGCTGCTTGGACCTGGAGTTTGTTGAAGTGCTCCACACATGAACAACAACACGACCCAGTAGAACATCTGCTCCTGCAGATAGAAGTCATGTCAACTTCAGTAACAAGAATAAATCTGCTAAATCTAATAATCCCTGAAGAACATCACCTGTAACCAATCAGGTAGCGCTGTTATTAAATATGGACTGAACGATTGTCATGGCCAGTATTTAAAGAGCCACCTGTAGACACGTTGCCACGCTGCCTCTTCAGTCTTATTGATAATCTACGGCTGGAAACACAGTGTGGAGTGTTGGTGTTTAAACCGTTATTTAAAGGAGAAACAGCAGATGTGCTGGGGGTAATGTGGAGCTGTGATGTTCTTTTCAGACTCGTGGATGTTGGAGTGACGAAGCAGGAAGAGGAGGAGCACTCAGCAGCGCTCTGCGTCGTGGGCAGTGCCGACCAGCTCAAAGAGGTATGACATCACCGTTAATACACTGTGTTCAGGCAGAGGCTTCATGTGATCCACAGGACTGTGAATGGTGCTTATAATGCTGTTGTTAAACACTGGATTCCTTTAAGAACTACACCTACGAGTCCTCTATGAAGAGCAAATAATTCAGCTCAGTGCTATTTATACACAGCACATATCCTCTCATCGTGCTTCAGAATCAGAAAGACTGTATTGATCCCTCAGTGGAAACTACTTCCTTATTTACAGAGTAAACACCTTTGAAACGTTGGACAGAGAAACCAGCAAACCTAAAGTTTTCTTTGAGCAACAGTGGAAATGACCAGAAAACCTCCACTTTACCTGGAAGGACAGAAGCTAAACAGCCTTCTGCCTCCAAACGGTCGTGACTGTTGTTGACATGTTTCAGCTTCTCTAACCTCCTATGTGATATCCCAGATAGAGTTTATGTGTGTTTATGGTGCTGACTGTGTACAGCAGCGGCAGACAAATCCACTAAAGCTGTACCAACCTGGACCTATCAGCTGAGCCCTGCTGACACCGGGCAGCAGCAAGAAGGTGTTCAGATAACGCTATCAGTCTGGATAGCCAAAACAGCCATAACCCGCTGCAATTTATGACGTGCCGAACCCCGGCTGGCTCCTCTCCGCCCCTGCAGCAGATGTAACAATACGGGCCAGATGACAGCTCAGTGCTCACTAATGTGTGCACAAGCATGTCACTGAGTTACAGGCTGCAGAGGAGGTGCAGGGCTGGTGGTACAGATGTCAGGAGGCTGCAAGGAGGAAGAGGAGAGAGCTGGAGAGCTGCACCACCAATGTTAGTGTGCAGCTCTACTCCCTGTATCTGTCAGAGCAGCTCCTTTATCAATTTGTTTGAGAAACAAACAAAAAACTTTTATTTTCAAGTAAAACAGGGAAACTCCAGAACGCATTATGTAGCAATGGATCCATGAAGTACCAAATTGTCCTACTGAAGGCTACGTCTGAAGTAGAGGCTCATCTTTTTATAGAAAAGACATCATGAGCTCCTGCTTGTTCACTCTTCATTTATTTCAGCTGGTAAATCCTGCTGAGGTCACTGAACTGGTTAGATTAAGGCCTTCAGGTGTCTCGGTGGTTAGCACCTTGGCCTCACAGCTAGAAGGTCGCCAGTTGGCGTCCCGGTGAGGACACCCGGGATCTTTCTGCGTGGAGTCTCCATGTTCTCCCCGTGCAGCATGGGTTCTCTCTGGGTTCTCCAGCTTCCTCCCACAGTCCAGAAAGTGGGTGTGAATGTGAGTGTGCTTGGTTGTCTGTCTCTAAGTGTAGCCCTGTGATAGACTGGTTACCTGTCCAGGTGAACCTGCCTTCACCCTGAGTCAGCTGGGATAGACTCCGCATCCAAGTGACTACAAGTCTTCTCTTTGCAACTGTCAAGCTACATCTGGGCATGTTTGACTGTCCTGTAATTGTGGCCAAAGTGTCTGATGTTCAGCAGTGTGTGTGCATATATATTCCTTACCTGTCCAAACACATGTAGGGAACTGCACAACATACTGTTGAATATATTTCAGAGAGGAACCCCTGGATCTCTCAGCCTCTCTTTAATCCAGTTCAGTGTGGCGTCCTTTAACAGGAGTAACATCCTACAGTCTTGTGAGCATATTTTAAAGCTGCCATGGTGACAACATTCCTGGTTTTATCAAACCTTGATTGTGATCAGTGGAACATGGGCCACGTGGTAACAACATGCAGCGGTGCTGGATGCAATGCAGTCCCATGCAGTTCATCTTTACCAGGTCCATACCGTGGCGTCCAAAGGTCTGAGATGCTAATGAAGATACTTCTACTTTGCATTTGTCTTGAATTTAACTGCAGATTAAATCCTGCTTCAGAGAAATCTTCAGATTTTTATTTGGGTTTTATGTGAAGGTCCATTGTTGAACTAGTTTCCTTTAGCGTGTTTGTGGGTTTCATCCTTGAATGCGTGTTTGTTAATGAGTAGTACAGGTGTGTGGACAGACGCTGAGCTGAGGATCAGTTTTAACCTCCAAGCTGTAGCATCTGTCCAGAGGTGGAGGTCTGCACTGTGGAGCTGCTTCAGAGGCTCAGATACGGATCCACAGAGCCTCCATCGATAAGTCCTGCATGTGTGTCAGCAGCAGGACGGCCAGTGTCATGCCCGTGTGAGGGAACATGTATGAACATGTTCTGGAGGCACTGGGAATTCCTTTATCTCTCTGCACAACACACACATCAGGGTTATACAGCGCCCTCTGCTTCTCTTTCACCAGAGAGCTGCTTTAATAGATCCACATACGTACAGATACACAACCATCAAAAGTCTGTTGTGGTTATTAAAATATCTACAGCTGCTTGTTCACTTCCTCCAGCTGCAGTGGGAACAGCGACACCTGGTGGACGTGTTGAGCTTCAGCAACACAGATCTCCATTTTGTAGTTGTACTTCCTGTTGGAAAATAGAACTGGTGGAGAGAGGGGAGCCTGAAGAGAAGCAGGAGCTCCTAGCTGGAACCGATATTACCATGAAAGAAACGTATACAATCCAGTTTTATTGGAAAAATACCCAAAGCATGGAATCAAGACTCTATGTGAGTGTTTCTACAGGGTAAAGGAGTGTACTTCTGATTGGAGAGAGAATTAACGTTTACTACAAGGACTGTTTTAACAATCAACTGACCAGAGTGACGTCTGAGCTGTAGGAACAGAAACACAGCAGGTCTGACAGAACAGAGATCATGTAAGAAAGCCTTTATTGGTCACAAACGCAGTCATACACGTACCAGATGTATGGACCAGTTTACTGCAGGTTTAGAAGTCTGGGTACGTGTACTCAAGTATTTTCTTTATTGTAGGTTTTTTGAAACATCAAACTATGAAGTTAAAAACAGTGTAAGCAAAGTCTGACAACAACTTTGCGTTCGTTTCTCTGAAGCAGCTCACGAGGTCCTGACTCGGGGTTTGCGGAGTGGCGCTGAGACGTCTGGGCTGCTTTCCCTTCACTGCAGTTGGGTTCAGGTGGCTGATTGTGGAGGCCAGCTGTTTGGATTTAACGTCCTGCTGAAGGACGAGTGGTATGTCTCTGCAGAAGGTTTTTCTTGGTCTTCATCTGTGTTTTTATGGTAGCAGCTCTGCCGTGCAGGTCAGCTTCACAGAGTCTGATGTTGCTGTGTGTCTGCTGTAGGGCTGGACCCGAATAGCCGACTAGTCGTTCGCTGTGCTGGAATCGGGATATTGAACTTGATCTCCAAATACCCCCACCGCCGGAAACGGAGCCGTCACCGCTAACCCAAATACAGAAACTGGTCTGAGTAGCCATATGCAGCCTGTGTGTCACGCCCACTCCAACCCGTTGAAGCCTCAATGCACGCACCCCCCTTTCCCATCGGAAAAAATACTCACCCCCGAATATTCGGGATGTTCGTCATTAATTGGGACCGAATGTCCAGAGATCAGATATTGCTATTCGGACCAGCCCTAGTCTGCTGCTTGAGCTCTGGCAGGCCAACGCTGTGGGCTGTGATCAGAGGGCCGGTTAATTATTGATTTCTGAGGCTGCTGAGTCTAATGAACTTCTCCTTTGCAGCAGGAGGAACTCCTGGTCTTCTTCCTGAGGCAGTCGTCAATCAGCCAGCTCCGTCACAGCATTTGATCATTTTAGTTGCTGTTATTAGAGAAACTTTCACGTTCTTGACGTTTTTGGGACTGACTGTCCTTTGTGTACGGTCACTTCTCTTAGTCGAGTGATTCTGGCTCAGTGATGACCACCTTTATGAAACCGTGGTGGTTGTTTGGTTCAGTGAAGCCCGATAATGAAAGATACCTCGACAACGTTGAGCCCGGTTCATGGTGCAGGTGCCAGGTGATGGCCTCTTGGAGCTGGTTCAGATATTATCAATGTGCTAAAGTGTCATCGAGGTAAACAGGAACTTTATCGTGGTTGTTTGTTCCTGTTCTGCTCTGTAGTAAACAGTGAAAGTACAGAAACACCCTTAGATGAGCAGGAAGGCCCAACTCTTGGATGATCTTCATATATAACCTGTTGTGTCTTCTCCTCTCCTCCTGTTTGATTCCAGCAGATTGTGAAGCTCCGGCAGTAGCTCCAGAGCATTAAACAAGGAGGACGTCGCAGTAGAGACGAGGAACGAGCCTCTCTGCTCCAGTCCAACACCGTCACCTGCACCTGACCAGCACCACCAAGCACACTTCCACTACAGCCAGCCACGTTCAGGTAGCCTCACCAGTAAGGCCTCAGTGCTTCATCATGCAGTCACCAGGATCCCTGACACAACATCCTGTTAGTTATCCCATAACAACAGTGAATGTGTGTGATTTCCTCTTAGTAACAGGCTTGTGCTGATTGATAGTCTTGGAGAAGACGTTTGCTGACAAGAGGGTTCAATCTGAATTGTTCTGCTACAAACAGACTGAGATAGAAGCTTTTGAACACTCAGGAAGCCTTGGCCTGGTAGAACAGGCCAGGCTGCTCCAACAACCAACACCCTCTGCTTCTGTGTGACTGCAGCAGTTTTCCATGTCGAAGTCGGCCCAGATGCCGCTGTCCAACATCACAGTGCCAAAGCCATCCATCTCCAGGGTGCCCAGCAGCATGGAGGGCATCAACCATGAGCTGGAGAAGGTTTTCATCAAAGACAATGGAGAGAAGGAGGAGCTGAAGGTGAGGATCTCTGTCCTCTTAACCAGCCTGTCTTCTACTGGAGCTCTGCATGTCGTCTCAGCTCTGATGGTCTTCTGTCCTTGTGCAGTCCCTGGAGGTTCCTGACGGGCGACGGGCACCCTTCCCTCCCCAGCAGCGCAGCAGCAGCACCCGCAGCGTGGACACCCAGACCCCCTCGGCCCCAGGACGGTCCAGCAGCTGCTCCAGCCTGTCGCCGTGCCCCTCGCCAGCCTGCCCACCGGGATCCCACGACGGCAGTCCGTACTCCACAGAGGATCTACTATACGACCGGGATAAAGGTGAGCTAGCTGGTGCTGAAGCGTCCATGTGGAGGGCCGGTGAGTGGGTCAGTGGGACAACTGGGTCAGGCTCAGACACGTTTTAATAGTGGAATAGTGAAGCTGCAATTTCCAGTTTGTTATCTTTGTGTTTGTAGTGTCATAAGTACATTACCAGAGGACGGTTCTGTTATACGGCTGAAGGCAGGATCACTGCCTTTATGAGAAGCAGTGTGTGAAGCCACCACACGTTGTGTCGCTGTGCTTTAAAGCTCCCAGTAAAACTCTGCCAAATAAAATAACAAACCAGATACCAGTGAAGCTCCCTGTCCACTGGATGACATGTTCCTCATTAGCATAAACACAAACTACAGCTTCTACTGACTCACATATTGCACACTGTCCTACTGTATAAGATACACACCAGTGTATGACAACACACCCAACAAATGTAAGATATCCTTCTGAGTGATGGTAGCCAGCTGTTGTGGGATCTCTCTAAACATTTAACTATACATTTGTTTTAAAATACTAGATATGAGTAGACGACTGTATAATGTCACTGAGATATCAAGTTCCAGCTCCTTATTATAAATGCACGACTTCCAAATTGAACAGAAATTCCAGAGTGTGCACTGAAAACGAGCAGAAGCCTCACCTGATGTAATCTGACTGGCTTTTGCAGACTGGGAGGGAGCTTCTGAACCAGACATCCATGGTGCCATTCATAAATGTCCTCTTCTAGTTTCTATTTGAGGCCTAATTAATTAATATCATATCTCTAAACTACTTGCTTTTGATTATTTATGGGAGAAACTGCATTTTAAAAATAATCCAAGTACCGTAAGTTCTGGACTAGAAGCAGCTACTTTTCTCACACGCTTTGAACGCTGCGGCTTAAACAACGATGAGACTAATTTATGGATTTTTACGAGTTTTGCGAATTTGCCTTGAGACCAAAGTGACGCTGAGAGCGACAGCAACAGAGAGACTGAGGAAGTGATGAAGTGATTCTGAGGCTGTTCAGCTCCTGAAGACACTGAAGAAGACGACTTTAGTGGTTTTAGTGCAGGAGGAAGATGAAGATAGCGATCAGTGACTTTTCCTGGTAGGCTGCTGGAGTTTTATTTCCTTAACCAGCCGCGTTACAGGCGCCGTTCAGAAAAAAGCATCTATGGTACGTATCTGTGTATGTTGCTGCTACGTATTTAATTAAAAGTTAAAACATCTTTCTGTGTAAATGTCTCATGTTCCAACGTGGACACCTGCAGCTCAGAGACCAGTGTAGTCTGGATATGTACACACCTGGTTTTCTGTTAAAGTTATTGGGTGGGGCTTATATTCAGGTGGGCTCAGTAGTCCGGGGTACTGTTATAAACGTTATGATTCTGCAAGGCACTTCTAAATGCTCAGATGCATCTCTGTGTTCAGACAGTGGAAGCAGTTCTCCACTTCCAAAGTTCGCCTCGTCGCCCAAACCCAACAACAGCTACATGTTCAAGCGAGAGCCACCAGAGGGCTGCGAGAAGATTAAAGCTTTCGAGGAGATGAGGTATGGCCCGTCTGATGCTTGTGCTGCATTTCAACACGTCTCGGCCGCCTCAGGAATGTACGCTCCTCACTGACACTGCGAATGTTTCTCTGCAGCTCCAGGCAGTCCACATCGACGTCAGTGCCCCTCTTCTCCTGCCCTGACAAAAACAAGGTCAACTTCATCCCGACGGGCTCGGCGTTCTGCCCCGTCAAGCTCCCCGGCTCTTTGCACCTCACCCCGGCCTCGGAGCCCGAGGAGGACGAGGACAACGCGGAGGCAGGCTCCAGCTCAGAGCCCCAGGGGGCCACCTCGTTCTACAGGGCCCCCACTCAGGTCTCCACGAGCACCAGCACAGACGACCCCCCAGAGGAACCCGGCTCGCCCTCAGAGACTGCAGAGCCCCAGACAGACAGCCCGGCCATCAGCTAGACCTGAGCAGAGCTGGCCTCTGGCTCCGGAACCAACGCTAGCGACCACCGACCACCACCACTGACTGTCCCACCAACACCTCCGTCTGCTCTGTCAGGGGAGCCTCCGTCTCTCTGTGCTGACCCCTCCACCCCCTTCTATCTCTGCATGACGTAGCAATGTCCCAAATATCCACCACCGCCACCACAAAGACTCAACGCCACCTTAATGTACTGTCCTGATAATGTCTGAGCTTTCGTTGGCAGGAGAGGACCTGATGGTTGAAGGTATCATATGCAGACATCGGAGGGAAGAATGCACTACGGATGGGGGGAGGGGCATGCATTTTAAACTGGTAGTATATTTCTGATTAAATTATGTGTTGTTCTCTGTTTCAACATTCACAGTATGAATAAGCTCTCTAAACATATATATATATATATATATACACATATAGTTCTATGAAAAGAAAGAGAAATGCTTGTTTTAAAAGAAAAAAATCCAAAACTGTGTATTGCTGTGTGATGTACTGAACAGGCAAACCGGCTGTACTATTCAGGATTATGTTTACACGATCCAGGTCACATTGTTAAACCCTGTCTCAAAGAAATGCAACGAGAACTTAATTTGGGCAAAGAGGAAGAAAAAAAAATGACAAAATGGCCACAATCCGTTGCACAGTCTCTGCATCTGGCCTCGCTTCAGGTATTTCACAATCAGAGTCTATACTCAGGTAATCTGGAATGTATGTCCATACAGAATATCTGCAGCTTTACAAAGCAGAACTGATCCACTGTCATTTATTCCTGGTTTTTCCTCATTCCCAGACAAGTCACTCTTTTCTGTTATGAATTCTGGTCTGAGACTGGACCAGTGATAGCGGCTGCAGAAGGGGGGGGTTGGTGTGGTCCCCCCTGACTGCTGGGGCGGCGATGTACCGACCACACACACTGTGACTGATGTGTGTGTGTGTAGTGATGGAGGCATTCTGACAGACTTGTCTGTTATTTAAGCCTGATCTGATTAACTCCTGAGCCTGCTGACAGTGGACCAGACATGGATGAGTCTGCAGTAGCGTCACGTGAAGGTACAATCAAACGGTGCAGACTGGAGGTGTAGCTGTACAAACGTTCATCTGGTTGATTTATTAAACGTCACCGAGACTAAAGCCGACACTGAGGCCCATGTCAAGGTTTAAACCAACACACAGCTGCAGGAAGCTCATTGAACCCTCATGCATGTGGTCATTTCCGTGAGTCACTGCAGAGTTACGTGAACAAGTGACGCGTATGAAGAATGTGAACGCAGTAAAGTCAGGAAACAGATTCTGGATTCTGCACAGCATCACTTAGCTAAAGCCTGCTAACCTGCTAACAAGCTACTGCTCACACCAAACTGAACTGGAGTGGGCGCTATTGTTTGGCATCATTGGGCAAAAGTTAAGGACTACACGGTGGCTCGGTGGTTAGCACTGTGGCCTCACAGCTAGAAGGTCGCCGGTTGGCGTCCCGGTGAGGACACCCGGGATCTTTCTGCGTGGAGTCTCCATGTTCTCCCCGTGCAACGTGGGTTCTCTCCGGGTTCTCCGGCTTCCTCCTACAGTCCAGAAACATGCTGAGGTTAATTGGTGATTCTAAATTGTCCATAGGTGTGATTGTGAGTGTGCTTGGTTGTCTGTCTCTAGTGTTTTTATTTCTACAAAAAACACGTTTAAAGTAAATGTTAAACACAAACATGCATAAGAGAGCTCAAATCAGGACATTAACCAGCAAAATGTTTTAGAGCTGCATCAGTTAGCAACGAACCAACATCAGCTCTGCAGCTTCGTGCTGTTACTTTCAGAGCTTTTTTTTAAACTTTTTTCTGTTTTATTGTCTTGTCAACCTTGTTTGCAGCATTTTCTTAACTTTTTTATTTTCCCAGCAAAAATGTACAGATACCCCCACTGTTCACCTGTACCTGCTCAGCAAACAGACACAGGTAGAACTCACTGCTAAAAGACCGATGTCTTTTTAAGGACTTAGAGACCAAAGTGACTCCACATAAAGCTGGATGTATAGTGACAGTTGGTCAGCGTTGTGTTGTTCAGGTTGTCCAGATGCCCCTCTGTGGCCAAAAAACATCAGTGACAGCAGGTGTAATCAACAACTGATCAAATAAGTCAGAAAGTCTGAGCGAACATTCATCACCAGGTTTCAGTCATTTGGTTTTTGATAGTCAGTGCTGCGATTCTGTGGTTTGATGGCCATCACGAGGCTATCTTCAGTGGAGTCACACAGGTTTCAATCATGAAGCCTGTCCATGTAAGACAGTGTCTGTACAGCCGATACCTCCAGTCTGCATCCAGGTTGATAACCAAACTTAGACTGTTCTAATATTCCAGAAAATTGCAATTCCATGAAAAGCATTCCATGATATTTTAGCATCCAGTACATGAATAGACTCATGATGATTTGTTCTAAAGTATCTCTCAGCCTTTTGATTTGGTCGCTGTTTGAGACGAGCTGCAGTGCTACGAGATGTTTGGTTTCATATTCAGTCGCACCTTCGTTTGTTTGGTGCACAGATAAAAGGATTGTGCTGGCCCGCCTCTCTCTGGCTGTCTGTCCGTTACTAGGCAGCGCTGTAGACACGCTGATGCTCCCACCGAGCCACTAAACCTTCTTAGCATCTCATATATTCTGTGCAAAGCACCACTCTCTAGGCTGTTAAACAGACATCACCATGCAGACGTGTAAATGGCCCATGTATTTTCATTTGCAAGAGTAAAACATAATCCACATTTATTTTTTAATATCTGGTGTGCTTGTGGACTCCCTGCATTGATGATCCATTCATATTTAGTACATGTGTGGCTTTTAAAGAGGTTCAATCCAATGTTGTGGTTTCTAAAGACATTTCAGCACCTTACAAAGAGCTATAGCCTTCCCAATGTCCCATATATACTTGGCATTGGTCAACTAGATGTGTGCAATAATAGGGAAAAAAACAAACAAAAAGGTGTTGTCCTTCCGGATGATGTTCTTTGACACAAGCGTCTCATCTTGCATTCCTTTGGTTTTGAGTATGGAGGCTGGATCAGCAATGTCGTTTGTTGCTAAAGCCATTAACCAATACGAAACCAGCACTGAGAGTGACCAGAGCACATTACTGGCAGGTCAGAGTGTTCATCAACGCACTACATGATACTCCTTGTGTAACCTGCAGTGTCAAAGTTCATGCACAATGGCAATAAAAAAAATCTTGGTTGTTTTGTCCACTTTTTAGTGTGTGTACATCAGTGAGGGGCGTCTATGAGCACTGGGCCGCGTTCAGAACCGCAAGCCTCCTGGGCTGTTCTGGTCCTCTGTAGCTGGTGCCCACCAAAAGAGGCCCAAAGAAGAATAGGGGAACCAGCCACAAGGTCATGGGTACCCAAGGCCCACTGATGTGGGGTGAGGAGGGAAGGCTGGACAGAGCCTCAGCATGCAGGCATCAGATCACGTAGCTGTAGGCCGTTCAGAGTGTCCACGCTGACCCATGTCCACCTACAAAGGCACCTACAGTGGACCAGTATCAGAACTGCATCATGGTGGAGGGAAGGAGTTGGTGTTTTTCTTCTACATCAGGGGTCTCGAACTCCGGTCCTCGAGGGCCGCAATCCTGCAAGTTTTAGATGTTTCCTTCTTCCAACACACCTGATTCAAATGATCAGCTCATCATCAAGCTCTGCAGAAGCCTGATAACGATCCTGATCATTTGAATCAGGTGTGTTGGAAGAAGGAAACATCTAAAACTTGCAGGATTGCGGCTGGAGTTCGAGACCCCTGTTCTACATGGTGTGGACAGCTGAGTGTGTTACCAGGAGAAGAGATGGCTGCAGGATGCAGAAAGGGCAACAGGTGAGTTAGCAGCCTGATGCTCTGATCAGTGATCTGGAACAACCTGCATTTATGCTTATTTCACCCTGACATGTAGCACGTAGCGATGTCTGCAGGCCACGTACATGCCTTTACGTTGACACTCTCCCTGATGGCAGCAGGATGATATGTCCTGTTACCTGCAAACACTGCTCAGGAGCTTCAGCATTTTTAACGAGGTCTCCACATTCCCTCGATGTCAGTCTGATGGAGAAAACAAGTCTGATCCATGAACCACGCACAATGTTCAGGACTTAAAGCATCTGCTGCTAGCATCGTGGTTCCTCAGACCACAGGAGACCTCCAGAGGTTTGTGAAGTCGTACATTTACACATGCACACATTATTAGTGTTTTCCTTTTCCAGCCTGGGCTCAAACTGCCACCGGCTGTAATCACGGCCCAGAAATGCCATTTTTGGAAAAACTGCATCCCTTACATCGTCTGACCTGAAATATGATGCTGAAGTTCAACTCAGTGTGCCGTACAGAACACCTATGGACCATAAAGGCACTGCAACAGAAAACAGCAGCAACATCTACTCTTAGTTTTTACGGTAATGTGGTTTACAGCATTGTGCAATTGAGCGACATAGCTCTTCTGTTCTTAAATAGCATCGATAAAACAGGTTTGCAGAAGACGGAGCTGAGCAGGTTTCTGGCCAGAACTTCTACTGGTCCAGTGAAGTGTCTCTCTGCAGACTTTGCAGGTTTGACTCTTACCTTCTCTTTCTCTTTTCTCTCCTTCTCTTTTCTCCGTCTATCCCACCCTGGTGCTCAGTTTTAGGAATGACTGACAAGAACAAACTCGAGTAAATCAGAGACTCATACGTTTTCTTCATCTAGACTTACTGCATACTGAGATGAGTTTGGTGATTCTCTCCCAGTGCTCTACCATCTAGAGCACAGGAAGCTGTTACAAAAACCTAATTGTGTGCTTTGGATGGTTGTCATGCTGGAATGTTAGATCCTCCTCCTGCCTGGGACTCATCCTGTCAGCCACTGTGTTGATGCATCCACTGGTGTTCATTAACATCATCTCCTCAGTATCTTTCCTGCAGCCATACATCAGCACAGGCGTCCCGGTCAGGACTATGCATTCAGCACAGTAGCTCTCGTTATCTCGCTTCACTAAACCTGACAAGTCGTCTTACAACGCTGGTCATCATCCAGGTAGGTCAACCTGTGGGTGGAGCTGGCAACAGATGAACAGTCACACCGACAGGCCCACGGACCCCAAAGTGACATAATTTACAACAGAAGAGCAAACTTTAATATCAGAGAAATACAAAGATGTGACCCACATGATACAGATTGACAGTAAGACGGCTGCAGCAGCCGGAGCAGGAAGCAAAGCTGCAGTCTATGTGGATGTTAACAGGATTATCAGTGTCACTATTAGGACACCAGTAGCTGTGACTGTAATTATAACTGTATATGTCACTGAATCAGTGTTTGTCTTTCACTCCGTTTGTTTCTTAGATGTAGGTTTCAAGACACAGTTTAATTATCAGTCTGCACCACAGGACTGTAGAGCACAATGACCGATGCTGTCCTTTTATACTGCTCACAAAAGACCAATTATTTAACAAATAAATAATCCAGTAATATAAACCTCATGTGGACGATGAATTCAGTAACCTCACACTAAGGCTCATACTTTAATCGTATTCTTTCAGCTGCTTAAACGGTTTGGGAGTCAGTAAAGAATGAA